AGCCTGGGGTTCTTTGGACTTAAGGGTTTTGGGCTGAGTTTTGGGAGGAACTCCGTGGCTTGGTGGGCTTTTGGGCTCTTTCTTTGAACACCTCCTCTCCGATCTGCCGACACGTTTCCTTTTTGGGGCTACCTGATACTAGTAGGATCCTAAAGAGACAGTTGGTTGAACCGAAAAAGGAACTACAACGGAGAGTCTAAGCTTTAAGGCTTAGGATTGAAGGCTTTACGGGTTTAGGGTAAAGGTTTGCGGGCCAGCAGGTTGTATTTATTGGATCTTTGTAATGGTCGTATCGATGAGATGGTGTGCGCCTCAGGTGTGAAACTGTGGGTTAGGGGTGAAAGGCGTGACAAGGGCTGTGGGTTTTAGGGCCGCAAAGACGGTTTAGGGTTTAGGGTTTAGGGGTTTAAGGGTTTAGGGTTTAGGGTTTAGGGTTAAACAAGGTTCAATGGGGGTGTATATGGGTTTGATACTCGGATGCATAAGATGCAAAAAATCCCTTCCTTTCAATTCTTCAAGCCCCTAGACTCTGCGAGACATGAAGTGGGAATTATTGGGAAAATGTAGAGTGCAGGAAGACGGAACAAACACGAAGAAGAGGCAAAAAGTGCAGCTCGACGCCATGGCAAGCAGTCTACTGTAGCTGCAGCATGACTGGAACAAGAAACGTAGTAAAGAATACATTCTCCACTTTCGCGGGTTCGACAGGGCGAGCATCAGGCCGAGCCTAGCCAAAAAGAAACAGAACAATAGCGGAACTTGGACCAAGGAGTAGATATCCACGAGAGACTGCGCTGTCTTAGACATGAACATAATAACAAGGGTACATGTGTAGGAGTGCATGCATAAACACAAATACATGCATTCATGCATGCGGCATGCGCGTATAAGCAGTCACTTATATGCTATACGTATCCTCTGATTGGTCTGCATGTGGGTGACCTGATGAACGCACACATTGCAAAAGTAGTTGAATACACACCCTACACCCACTCTAAACCCCAAGCTCACATGGTATGGCTCTCTGTATCTGCTTAAGTAGCATTAAAGCTTGTGGAATTTCAGCCAACCATGATGAACATGCAGATCATATGCAACAGGAACCATGCTGAAAACCCGCTGTGAAAAAAAACGTCCAAAAACCCTTGTCGTACGACGCCCGCAACTTCAGACCTCCAACCACTTAATGGCCTACAACTCCTGCTTGTAAGATGCTGATACCACCCGTGAGCCCCTTAACCCTACTCAAAAAATACACAGGAACCAACGAAACTTTATGAGAGCCTTTAGCATAAATACACAGCATCATGAGGGCGAAGGAAAGGATGCAGTGGCTTTCCAGAGAGGAACTCGGCTGTGTTTCATTATGCGGGGTTTAGGTTTTAGGATAGGGTTGGCAGTGTTTCATGATGTGAGGTTTAGGTTTTAGGATGGGGTCACCTGGGTCGGGGGACTTACTATGTATAGTTGTTTTGAAGAGTTATAATTACTATAAGTACTAAGTACCCTAATATGACCCCGGCTAAGATCCCGTTTAGTATAACTGTCTACGTGTTACTGAATTACTCTTTCCCCCAACCCTTCAAGTAGACAGCCGTGCAAGCAACTCCAGAAGATCGACTTCAATAACGAAAGAGGATGAACAGGGCGTTTGGCTGTTGCTTAGCAAACGAAGTCGCCTCATTTCGGATCCAAACGTCCTCGGTGTCGAGAAGCGCCGGCGAGGACGCCGCTAGGCTTGGTATGGACCTCCAATACCTGGGAACGGATCAAGGTGATTGGCTTTGGGTTGAGCGGTCGATCCATCCAGCGCACTCTGCGAGAACCCTTTTGCTTGAGCTGTTTTGTCACTCTTCTGCACTTGCCTCAGTTTCCGACTTCCGTCCCTAAACCCTAAACCTACAACTTCCGGGGTACTAATATAAGGGACCCTGAAGATCCTTCTAGAATTCCATTGACAGCTACAACCTCCGGTCTACTTAAAGGATCATGGGACTTAATAGCACGGATGACAAGTAAGGCAGCTCTACTTATACTTACTTTAAATAGTACCACCAATGCAGCTACTTATAGTCCTACCCAGACCCCCGGGAGGATCTAGAAAGTAGATCCCCTAATTTGGGGCCCTACACTACTAAGGGTAGTTGATCGGAACCCCCATTAAGGGATCTACTTTTTGGATCCTCCCGGGGGTCTGGGTACTTACTGGGTTCCATAATCCTCCGAGTACAAGAGCCGGGATCCCCAAGCCCTGGTTTCCTAAACCAAGGGCGAGCAGTCGATGCAGAAATCCGGGTTCAGCCCTGGGGCTAACAGTCTAAGGGTTTAGGGATTTAGGGGTTTAGGGTTTAGGGTTTAGGGATTTAGGGGTTTAGGCGGTTTAGGGGTTCAGTTTTTTGTTTGTTAATGCCTTTTTCCGTCTGCTAGCGTGCTAACATCAAGAATCTGCCATAGCAGTAGCTTGTTGGTTCAGGGTTTTGGGGTCTAGGGTTTCGAGTTTAAGGGCTTAGGATTTAAGGTGCTACTCTGGCGGGGATCGCATTGGGGTCCAGGGTTACACACTGCAGAAGCTTGTACCATCCAGTTGTCAAGTTCCAATGTTCGGAAGCCTTACCGGCAGGTACCAGGCAAAGAACTATGGAAACCAACTCTAGTTGGCCCTAAACCCTAAACCCTAAACCCTAAACCTTCTGAGTTCAGGGTTTAGGACCTGGGGTCCCTCATCCATCACGCACAAACGCTTCGATTTCTCGGAGAGGAGGTTCTGGGCTAGATGATCGCTACAAAACAATTACTTGCTGGGGCTCTCTATAACACCTTTTTTACAATCTGTTGGGTTAACTTATACATACCAACGCCTCGCAAGAATGCAAACTCCGATCACCCAACGAACTCTAAAAACCCGAACCCCCTAAACTCTAAACGACCTCACATGGCCGTGAGGCTCTGTGTGCCTTCCCCCTGGGGACCCAGCATCTCCTCCAGCTTGCTGTCATGCTTCCTTCGCGACCTAGCTTGGATCAGGGCTTGCGGAATATCAGGGTTCAGGGAGTAGGGGTTTAAGGGTTTAGGGATTTAGGGGTTTAGGGATTTAAGGGTTCAGGCGTTTTGGGATTATTGGGGTTTGGGGGCTTGGGGGTTTTTCAGGGTTTAGGCCTCCGAACCCTAAACCTGGTAACTTCGGGATACAGGGGTCTATTGGTTTACTAGGTTTAGGGTTTAGGGTCTACTGGTTTACGCTTGAGGGTTTAAGGCTTAGACAAGATCCGATAGCCTCAACCCCTTAATTCAAAAACCTTCACTACCTGAACAACCAAACCCTCAACCCCAAACACCCAACCCCGACCCTCAACCCTAAGCCCCTAAACCCTAAACCATAGATAACCCCGAACCCTGAACCCTGGGGCTGCTGTACTAAGCCCTGTTAGTAATGGCAACCCTCAATAAAGGAACCCATCAAAGAACCCTCTTACCATGAGAGCCCTCGCTATCGTTCGAAGCTTTGTGATATGATATGCCGGGCTTCGCACGTTCTTCAGAAGGCTCATGCTTTGGGGGGGCACCAGATATCCTAGAGGGCTTAGGGGTTCCTATGTTCGGGTATGACGAGGCTCCTCTTACTTCTAAGTTAACCCGTGCTTTTGGGAGAAGCATAATATAGAGGCATTAATAAGAAGAATAAGGTTTTGGGGCCCAGAACACTATAAATGTACTAAGGAACCCCCGAAATGATGTTGGTACTTGTTAAGGCCTTTATAATATGTACAGGCGCTCCCGGCGTGGAGAGTTGACACCCTGAACTTTCAGGTTCTTGTAGAAACCTCCTGAAGGCTCTCGCTCCTGACTCCGAAACCCTAAACGCTAATCCCCACAGATCTCCAAGCCTAAACCTGAACCCTCAGCCCTCAACGCTAAACCCCTATATAAACCCTAAAACCCTACCTATATATATATATATTGTCACCCCCCCCGTTGACAGACCATGCCCTTTCAACTCAGTCGTAGCGCATGGTCTGTGATCGGGGGAAAGGGGCACTCAGCTTTCAAAAACTCAATTCCAAAATTTCCAAAATTCTCTCCCCTAACTTTCCGGATTTCCAAAATTTCCAAAATTTCCAAAATTTCCTAAATTTCCAAAATTTCCAAAAAGTCCGCCCTTATGTTTTGGAAAAACCCTGTCGACTAGGTCGGGCCGTTTTGGAAATTTTGGAAATTTTGGAAATTTTGGAAATTTTGAAAATTTCGGAAATTTCGGAAATTTTGAAAATTTCGGAAATTTTGGAAATTTTGGAAATTTTGGAAATTTTGGAAATTTCGGAAATTTTGGAACTTCTGGAATTGATTTTCAATGGGCTGACTCTGACCCATCGGATGACAGACCATGCACTACGACTCACTTGCAAAGGCAAGGTCTGTTTAGACGATTGTCAGTGTTTATATATATATATATATATATATTTTTGTTTTGTAAATTGGTACTCCTAATACTGACATTGATCATTTGCTGACTGCCCAAGCTAATACTAGCATTAACACTAATATTTACACTTGTTTAAGCCAATACGAATAGGCACCATACAAATACTAATAATGATTAATACTGACGTTCATACTCCTACGCATATCAATAATTATGCCCATATTGGTACGGTGGATGATATAAATCCTGCATGAGTTTGTAAGACACAGGCCGCTCCCCTTGAACCCCTGAATTTTAACATTGTCGCAGGCGGACGTGCTCTGATAGGACCGTGCGAATGATATAAATCCTGCATGACCTCCCCTCTGACATCAACATTGAAATTTAGGGGCGCGGGGATGCAACTGCTTTGACGATACATGATGGGCTGACCCACAGTCATGCACGATTTATATCATCAACAGTACGGCGCAGGGGGCGTTCTGTTTGTTTTTTATCCTGGCAGTATGTGCCTGGTGTCCTTGCGTTAGCCGCAGTGAATTATCGGGAGCTCTGCAGATCTGCGAAAGAGGGTCCGCGCTTACAGGTCTTCCTCATCAATCACAGGGTCTGCTGCGCTGGCACTCAAGTGCCTTTGACGGCGTGCTGCGTACGCAGCAGAGGATTCCGTTACGAATCTGCACCAGCTCGAGGCACAATGTGGTACCTTCTTTAAGGCCCCATTGATGGCAACATGAGCATCAAATTGGATGACGCGACTTTGCATATGCCGCACATCCTCTCGGGAAACCGGTGAGGTTGCATCCCACAGTCCCTCCAGCGGAGCCGTGAGTGCTGCACCTCTCGTCCACTTGAAATCAGGATTGCCATCGTGATGCGACTGGCTCACCTGAATTCGCAAGATTTGGCCCGCAAAAAGCTTCTTGAAAGTCACGGCAGGCACTGTGGGCGACCTTGCTGGGCGAGACGCAAACTCTGTAGGAGAGAACTCGTCCCAGTAGATGAAGCGAATAGCTTTGTTGGTCGCCAGCGAACTCAGGGCCATCGATGCTCCGAGGGCTGGGCAAAAGTCCACTGCGTTTCGGCCGAAGACGTTGACAAGTGGATCCAAGATCATACTCTTCCCGGCATTGGTCGTGCCGGCTAGCATGGGGACACGGGCTGTCTTGCTCGGACCGTGGCAGATAACGTTAGCTAAGCTGGCTGCAAGCAGCTCCTGGTCAATAGTGGCATGGTTGCGGCTGAAGAAGTCGCATGCCGCCTCTGACCACTCACAGCTGCCTTGACAGCTGCAACTTGTCTGCGCGAGTCTCTGCACTACTGCCCAGTCGCTCTCCTGCTCCAGTGCATGCTGCTGCTTTGCACCTTGCCACTGCTCCGCACCAGCGATCAGTTCAGAAAGCCGCTTCTGGTTCCGCACACAGAAGAGCTGGCAGGCGTGCGAGCCGTACTCCTGCACATAAGCTAGCACTGCACTTGGAGTCAGCAGCTTTTTTTCCAGAACCAGAGCCGTGAAGTCCAAGAGGTTGAACTTGGGGACTCGTGCTTTCTTGCCACCGGAAGCCTCAGCACCAGCAGCAGCAGCCTCGGCCTGTTGGCGCCGCTTGGTCCACATGGTGGCACTCCAAGGCTCCTGGGATTCCTCGTAGAGGTTAAGGACAACTGCATCCCTACCAGGAACAACAAACTCTTGGCACGGACGGTCTCCAACCTGGATTGCCTCCAAACTTCCGAGACTCTTCAGCCACGCTACTGGTTGGAAGTCAACAACAGGCTTCCGCTCCGTTGTGAAAACACCATAGCGCAAGGCACTCCACCACTGCTTGTGCGTTGTGCTCCAATGCGAGGCCAAGCCAGACCGCTGCCGCAGCGCGAGTTTTAGTGGCATGAACCGCGTTGAAGTGTTCAGCTTGAGAGCTGCGTGGAAGTGCTTTGGCTCCTCCAGAAACACAACGAGCTTCACGACCTCCAAAACCTTGCTCCGAGGCCGCCCACCTCGAGGAGTCGCCTCCGGCACAGGATGCGCGACTGCGTCCAACAAGGCATCCCGAACTTGGAGGCGGGAGAGGTCTGCCAAGTCTTTCAGAGGAGTTTCGGCTTCCAGAGCAGTCTCGCTCAGAACAGCAGCGAACGTCACTGGGTCAGCCAGTCGGGCTGGGCCACAGCAGCTGGACAGTCATCGTCGCCGGAGGACGAGGAGCTGGAGCTAGGCATGCCGAGCTCTGGCGCAAGCCTGCTTGCTGGTTGTTGAGCCCAACTTTCAGCACAGTCACTATGGAAGAGGCATTCAAGCTTCTCACCAGCTGCTTTCGGACGAAACTTGTTTCCCCCTAGCACTGGTGTGTCCCGAGACATGCGACTTCTGCTTCCCCCCAATAGCTTGCGGGATTCAGAGAAACCTCGAAATCGCTTCCCCCAAGTACTGGTGAGATTCAACGGTTTCGAGAACCAAGAATGATGAACCCTCTATAGTTGCAAACCCAGCCGTGCCGTTTTGCCTAGTTGTAAACTAGTTGCAAACCTAGTTGCAAACCTAGTTGCAAACCCCACCTCTAAGGGGGAAAAGCACACGCACGGAGCACAACTTCTGCTGTTTCAATCGAAGCAAGCTTCAGAGTTCACGTGCGAATCCGCTTCCCCCCTTAGAGGTGGAGTTTGCAACTAGGTTTGCAACTAGTTTGCAACTATGCAAAACCGCACAATCGAGTTTGCAACTATGCAGGGCCCAGAAGCAGGGCACGGGCGAGCCAGGGCCAGGGGCGGGGCGGCGGAGTTTGCAACTAGGTTTGCAACTAGTTTGCAACTATGCAAAACCGCACAATCGAGTTTGCAACTATGCAGGGCCCAGAAGCAGGGCACGGGCGAGCCAGGGCCAGGGGCGGGGCGGCGCAGGGCAGGGCAAGGGCAAGCGCAGGGGCAGCAGGGCATCAGGGTAAGGGCAGAGCCCGCCCTTCAAGTCAGTGTGAATCTCGGCACTCATCACTCAGGCTGCAGTGCAAGTTTTGTCACCCCGCAGGAAGTGTCCGAGTCTTAAATGGACCAATCACACATCAAGGTCAAGGAGAAGTTGCCGGGTCGCAGCGTAGCCTCCGGCCTCGCCTGCACCTGCTGAAGGATTCAAAGTTCCACTCAGTTGCTAGAGCCGCCCTCTTCGAAAAAGTAGCCCTTGGACTCATACAGCCGCTTGCAGCTTCGGACCATGTCCCCGATGCTGTCCTCAAGGAAGGCTTTGGGCAGGTTGCGGATGGTCCTCTTCAGGCGCTTCAGGTACTGCGGCCGCGTCTCACGCTTGGCGCCACTCCACGTCTTCTCCTGCTTCCGCAAGCGCTTGTTGACCTCCTTCCAAATGGCATAATCCAAGACCGAGAGATCTGGGCTACGCTTCGGGATCTCCAGGACACCAATCTGGGCTTCGTGCTTCGCAGCCAAACCCTTCGAAGACTTGTACCCGGTCGGGTCATTGTCCTCGAGGACTGTGTACTTGCGCTTACCAGGCCATGCCTTAGCCAAGTCCTTGGCAAGTGTCTTGTAGAAGACGCTCGCCGAGTTACCATTCCACCGCCCTGCGACCTCCTGGACAGAGATGACCTTGCCGGCGCCGACACCCACATGCAGCAAGACACCCTTGGCTCCGGTGTTGTGCCTCAGATTGCCCTCCTTGGGTTTCACATAGCCTTTGCACAAACCTTGTCCAGGGCGGCGGTAAGCACCAAACGTGACGTGCTTGGCGGCACGCACACGTTCAGCTCCAGTCAGGTAAACCTGAAAGTGCTTCCCGTCGATGAACGCATGCACATTGCTAAGCCACCACTGCTTCGATTTGCCACGATACTTCTTCGCGAACGCATACCTGTCTCGGATATCCGCAGGCGTCAGCACAGGCTTCTCCCGAAGCTTGCGGAAGTAAATGTTCCGCTTGTGCAGTGCATGCAAGATGCATTGCGTGCTTGCCTTGGATTTTGTCGCCTTCTTCAAGGTCTCGACGGTGATGGTAGTCGCGCCGTCCACCTTCACGATCAGCTCATCCAGCCGCCGCTCGAGCAAGTCGACCTGTGCCGTGGTCAAGGCTTTTGGCCGGCCCTGTTTCTTCGGCTGTTTCTGCATACACAGAAGCCGTGCCATGGTCGAGGTGTCCCTACCTAGCAGCTCAGCTATCTCGGATGGCTTCTTCCCGCGGCTATACCAGTCCCTCGCCAGCTCGCGCTGCTCCTCCGACATCTTAGTCCAACCTGGGACAGGCATGGCGCACTACTGGCTGCTCTGGGCGTACTGTGGAAGCTCTGTGCTACCCGCTTGATCCAAGGTCCAAAACATGCTCTATGGCATGAAGAGTGCATGACTAAATGCTTCACCGAACAATGAATCCTGTGCAACTGGCCAGATCAGGTCACGAGACATGTTTGCACTCAGCACACCGGCCCAGCTCGACGGAGCCAAAAAAAAAAACACCCACTTTTTGCCCGAAGTAGCCTGCGTGACTAAATGCTTCACCGAACAGTGAATCCTGTGCAACTGGCCAGATAAGGTCATGAGACATGTTTGCACTCAGCACAGCGGCCCAGCTCGACGGAGCCAAAAAAAAAGACACCACCCACTTTTTGCTCGAAACAGCCTGCGTGACTAAATGCTTCACCGAACAGTGAATCCTGTGCAACTGGCCAGATCAGGTCATGAGACATGTTTGCACTCAGCACACCGGCCCAGCTCGACGGAGCCAAAAAAAAACATCACCCACTTTCTACCCCAAACAACCTCGGCCGACGTGGAGTCATTCTCGCACGCGTCTGTACTTTCACACGGCCGGTAAACAACAGCCACGGATATGGAGCTCAAAAGCACGGCTACACATCATCTTGGACGGTGGATGATATAAATCCTGCATGAGTTTGTAAGACACAGGCCGCTCCCCTTGAACCCCTGAATTTTAACATTGTCGCAGGCGGACGTGCTCTGATAGGACCGTGCGAATGATATAAATCCTGCATGACCTCCCCTCTGACATCAACATTGAAATTTAGGGGCGCGGGGATGCAACTGCTTTGACGATACATGATGGGCTGACCCACAGTCATGCACGATTTATATCATCAACAGTACGGCGCAGGGGGCGTTCTGTTTGTTTTTTATCCTGGCAGTATGTGCCTGGTGTCCTTGCGTTAGCCGCAGTGAATTATCGGGAGCTCTGCAGATCTGCGAAAGAGGGTCCGCGCTTACAGGTCTTCCTCATCAATCACAGGGTCTGCTGCGCTGGCACTCAAGTGCCTTTGACGGCGTGCTGCGTACGCAGCAGAGGATTCCGTTACGAATCTGCACCAGCTCGAGGCACAATGTGGTACCTTCTTTAAGGCCCCATTGATGGCAACATGAGCATCAAATTGGATGACGCGACTTTGCATATGCCGCACATCCTCTCGGGAAACCGGTGAGGTTGCATCCCACAGTCCCTCCAGCGGAGCCGTGAGTGCTGCACCTCTCGTCCACTTGAAATCAGGATTGCCATCGTGATGCGACTGGCTCACCTGAATTCGCAAGATTTGGCCCGCAAAAAGCTTCTTGAAAGTCACGGCAGGCACTGTGGGCGACCTTGCTGGGCGAGACGCAAACTCTGTAGGAGAGAACTCGTCCCAGTAGATGAAGCGAATAGCTTTGTTGGTCGCCAGCGAACTCAGGGCCATCGATGCTCCGAGGGCTGGGCAAAAGTCCACTGCGTTTCGGCCGAAGACGTTGACAAGTGGATCCAAGATCATACTCTTCCCGGCATTGGTCGTGCCGGCTAGCATGGGGACACGGGCTGTCTTGCTCGGACCGTGGCAGATAACGTTAGCTAAGCTGGCTGCAAGCAGCTCCTGGTCAATAGTGGCATGGTTGCGGCTGAAGAAGTCGCATGCCGCCTCTGACCACTCACAGCTGCCTTGACAGCTGCAACTTGTCTGCGCGAGTCTCTGCACTACTGCCCAGTCGCTCTCCTGCTCCAGTGCATGCTGCTGCTTTGCACCTTGCCACTGCTCCGCACCAGCGATCAGTTCAGAAAGCCGCTTCTGGTTCCGCACACAGAAGAGCTGGCAGGCGTGCGAGCCGTACTCCTGCACATAAGCTAGCACTGCACTTGGAGTCAGCAGCTTTTTTTCCAGAGCCAGAGCCGTGAAGTCCAAGAGGTTGAACTTGGGGACTCGTGCTTTCTTGCCACCGGAAGCCTCAGCACCAGCAGCAGCAGCCTCGGCCTGTTGGCGCCGCTTGGTCCACATGGTGGCACTCCAAGGCTCCTGGGATTCCTCGTAGAGGTTACTGCATCCCTACCAGGAACAACAAACTCTTGGCACGGACGGTCTCCAACCTGGATTGCCTCCAAACTTCCGAGACTCTTCAGCCACGCTACTGGTTGGAAGTCAACAACAGGCTTCCGCTCCGTTGTGAAAACACCATAGCGCAAGGCACTCCACCACTGCTTGTGCGTTGTGCTCCAATGCGAGGCCAAGCCAGACCGCTGCCGCAGCGCGAGTTTTAGTGGCATGAACCGCGTTGAAGTGTTCAGCTTGAGAGCTGCGTGGAAGTGCTTTGGCTCCTCCAGAAACACAACGAGCTTCACGACCTCCAAAACCTTGCTCCGAGGCCGCCCACCTCGAGGAGTCGCCTCCGGCACAGGATGCGCGACTGCGTCCAACAAGGCATCCCGAACTTGGAGGCGGGAGAGGTCTGCCAAGTCTTTCAGAGGAGTTTCGGCTTCCAGAGCAGTCTCGCTCAGAACAGCAGCGAACGTCACTGGGTCAGCCAGTCGGGCTGGGCCACAGCAGCTGGACAGTCATCGTCGCCGGAGGACGAGGAGCTGGAGCTAGGCATGCCGAGCTCTGGCGCAAGCCTGCTTGCTGGTTGTTGAGCCCAACTTTCAGCACAGTCACTATGGAAGAGGCATTCAAGCTTCTCACCAGCTGCTTTCGGACGAAACTTGTTTCCCCCTAGCACTGGTGTGTCCCGAGACATGCGACTTCTGCTTCCCCCCAATAGCTTGCGGGATTCAGAGAAACCTCGAAATCGCATCCCCCAAGTACTGGTGAGATTCAACGGTTTCGAGAACCAAGAATGATGAACCCTCTATAGTTGCAAACCCAGCCGTGCCGTTTTGCCTAGTTGTAAACTAGTTGCAAACCTAGTTGCAAACCTAGTTGCAAACTCCACCTCTAAGGGGGAAAAGCACACGCACGGAGCACAACTTCTGCTGTTTCAATCGAAGCAAGCTTCAGAGTTCACGTGCGAATCCGCTTCCCCCCTTAGAGGTGGAGTTTGCAACTAGGTTTGCAACTAGTTTGCAACTATGCAAAACCGCACAATCGAGTTTGCAACTATGCAGGGCCCAGAAGCAGGGCACGGGCGAGCCAGGGCCAGGGGCGGGGCGGCGGAGTTTGCAACTAGGTTTGCAACTAGTTTGCAACTATGCAAAACCGCACAATCGAGTTTGCAACTATGCAGGGCCCAGAAGCAGGGCACGGGCGAGCCAGGGCCAGGGGCGGGGCGGCGCAGGGCAGGGCAAGGGCAAGCGCAGGGGCAGCAGGGCATCAGGGTAAGGGCAGAGCCCGCCCTTCAAGTCAGTGTGAATCTCGGCACTCATCACTCAGGCTGCAGTGCAAGTTTTGTCACCCCGCAGGAAGTGTCCGAGTCTTAAATGGACCAATCACACATCAAGGTCAAGGAGAAGTTGCCGGGTCGCAGCGTAGCCTCCGGCCTCGCCTGCACCTGCTGAAGGATTCAAAGTTCCACTCAGTTGCTAGAGCCGCCCTCTTCGAAAAAGTAGCCCTTGGACTCATACAGCCGCTTGCAGCGTCCCCGATGCTGTCCTCAAGGAAGGCTTTGGGCAGGTTGCGGATGGTCCTCTTCAGGCGCTTCAGGTACTGCGGCCGCGTCTCACGCTTGGCGCCACTCCACGTCTTCTCCTGCTTCCGCAAGCGCTTGTTGACCTCCTTCCAAATGGCATAATCCAAGACCGAGAGATCTGGGCTACGCTTCGGGATCTCCAGGACACCAATCTGGGCTTCGTGCTTCGCAGCCAAACCCTTCGAAGACTTGTACCCGGTCGGGTCATTGTCCTCGAGGACTGTGTACTTGCGCTTACCAGGCCATGCCTTAGCCAAGTCCTTGGCAAGTGTCTTGTAGAAGACGCTCGCCGAGTTACCATTCCACCGCCCTGCGACCTCCTGGACAGAGATGACCTTGCCGGCGCCGACACCCACATGCAGCAAGACACCCTTGGCTCCGGTGTTGTCCCTCAGATTGCCCTCCTTGG